ACCAGCTGGCTGGCAGCGGGCGGTCCACACGTCGCCGTCGTACTACTGACCGACATCGACAGCATGCCCAGCACGACCCCGCACACTTCTTGTCAAGTCAACGCTGTCCTGGTGAGGATCAAACTTCGAGACGGGCTCGAAGGGCGGGGGGGAAGGACGAGTACTTCCCGCGCCCACCAGCGGGGATGGTGAGGGGCAGGGGGGGGGGGTAGGACGGCCACTACCTGCGCCCCCGCGGTCCGCCCTAGCTCGCCACCCCCACCATTCCCATGGAGAAGGAGGAGCTACCCGAGCGCCCGAGGGCGAAGCACAGGACAGCCGAGACATCCCACTCCGACGATAATAAGTACCAGGCCTGGGGTTCGCACCCACCGAGGGCACTGTGACCCCTAGCCATAGCGGGACGAGGTGGGACAGCCAAGACCCCCACTTGAAGTCGGTGCATGGAGGCCTTGGAAGCCCACAACCAACGCAACACCAGCAACGATCCGACCCCCCAACGACCTGACCAGCACGCTCCACACCCTACACTCAGCCCTACAAACGACCGCCATCTACAACCCCCGAGATCAGCACCCTCCTGTACTGCAGAGGCGGGGGCGGCATGACTGACGACATCGGGTACTACGGCTAGTGAGTACCAGGACGACCAGCACGACTGGACAGGATTACGCAGGAGTACCAACCCGTCCAGCACGGCTAGGACGAGGGATACAAGTTCGAGCACCACAGTGTCAAGCAGCACTGCAGGCTCGAGCACATCATGGACTACTCGATGAGAAGGGGCGGCGTGCCCCTCGGCGAGGGATACACAGCGCCAGGCGCCGAAGGGTGTATCCCCGTCGCCCTCGCGTGGCATGCGAGGGGCCGAGGCCAGCCGGCCTTGATCGGCATGATGACGAGAGCAGCCGCTGCAGACTTGCTGGAGCCCACGAGCGGCTCGGCGAGCCTCCACAGCGCGCTGCGCCGAAGGGTGGAGGCCGCCGCAGCTGGGGGCAGCCAGCCACCCGAAGACCCCACGGCGGCTGGGCTCAGCGCGAGGCGCCGAAGGGAGCCCAGCCGCCACCACGCGGCCGCCAGCCCACAAAGAGGCCGACGGCCTGGCCGTGCGCCGCGCTGCCTGACGCCCGCGGGCGCGGGCGCGCGCGGCGCCCGCCCGTGGGCCCTGACGGGCCCCCCTTTTTTTCTTTTTGCTGAAACCCGGCCCCCCTTCTCCCTCCGCTGAGGTTTAACTTGGTCCCTGGTTCCCTCTGCTTTCCTCGGGGTCGGGTTCCCGGGGCCGCTGTCCGAGTGCCCGCACGGCCCTGAAGGGCCGCTGCGGCGCGCTCCGCGCCCGCGGGGCGCGCGACAAGACGCTGCATAGCGAGAAACGCAGAAACGCAGGAGGAGGAGGAGGAGGAGGAGGAGGAGGAGGAGGAGGAGGAGGAGGAGGAGGAGGAGAGGGAGGGGGAACGGATCCCGGACCAAAGTGCCAGGTCTGCGAGGGGGCCGCCACTCATGGTGGGCACAGGAAGAGGGAGGAGCACGTGCGAAGGGAGGAGCCGGCGGAGGAGCAGGGAAGGAGGGAGGGAGGGAGGAGGGAGAGAGGGGAGGAAGTGCCGATGATCACTTAACCCTGTCCTCCCCTGACGACCCACCAACCCCCTCGCGGGGCAGCTAGACTGCCCGGCTCAGGCTCAGAGCAACTTGGTGACTTAGCTCGTTCTCTGGGCGCAGGTGGTGCAGCGGTTGTACTCTTCCCTCTTCCAAGACCCGTTTTTCCCTTACTCGGGGAAGGGTTTCGCCCTCCCTCCTCCCCCTCCCCTGGGTCCGGATGGAGGGGTTAGAGAGTCCAAGGTGGCCCCCGATGTGCCAACACGGCCTCCACGATGGCACCCGATAACCGAACATGGCTCAAGATAAAAACTTCGGCCATAGTTGCGCGAAACCCTCAAGACGACTCCAAACGACCTCCGAATCCACCAAGAGAACCGTCCCCTAAACTATCAGCAAATCGGTGACTTGTTGCTTCCGACGGGCCTCCGAAGCCTCAAAAGGGCTCCAAGATGGCCCCATAGAGCCCCAAGAGGGCTTCAAGACGGCACCAAGAGCGCTCTAGGAAGGCTCCGAGAGTCGGGGGCGCACAAACACGGGTTAGCGATCCATGGATTTGGCGCGCGGTCGCAAAATCCATGGATCGGGGGAGGTGCCCTCCCCAAAATGCGGCCAGTGTCGCCTCGCTCGGCGGCGGAAATCCGCGATTCCCCATGGAAACGGGACCCGCCGCTGATCCACACCCCCTTTGATCCATGCTTTGCGATCGTCTGAGAGAGGCAACATGTCAGCCTCCAGGGCGGGGGGTGGGGAACGAAATTTGGATGCTCGTTCTGGGGACCTTCCTGGAGCCACTCGCTCCACTCGTGCGTCGAAGCTGCGTCGAACATCAGTCGATTTGGGTCGACCCTGAGTCGAACCTGAGTCGAACTTGAGTCGAACTTGAGTCGAACCTGAGTCGAACTTGAGTCGAACTGGGGTCGAACAGATCCGTTAGGTGGGCTCCAGGAAGGTCCCCGAAACGAGCATCGAGCGAAATGATCTCCCCCTCTTTGAGCCGAAGGGGGGCTGGAGATCGCCCGAAGGCGCCCCACGCGAGCCCCAAGCGGGCCCCGAGCGGCACCCCACGAGGGCCCCGATATGGCTCCAGGAACCTTCCAAGAAGTTATCGCAACGACAGACCCGCGAACGCCTCCTCCTCCTCCTCCTCCTCCTCCTTCTTCTTATCACTATTAATAATAATGTTACTCATATTACTAATACTAGTGTTAAGATTATGCTCGTTGTTATTCTTCTTAGTATTCGTATTATTATCCCTCATATTTAAAGGATGGGTATCTGGTTATTCTCCATATCCAAAGAATTGGGTTCTTGTTATTCTCTGACCGTGCCAGAGACCTCTCCTCCCCTCCTCCCTCTCTGCACTAGACAATGATGATTGTGGTGAGAGTATGATGTGAGTATGATGATGATGGTGCATGATGGATGAGTATGATGAAGATGATGATAGTAATGCTGATACTGACGATGACGATGACGATGGCGATGACGATGACGATGATGATGATGAGGATGAGGATGATGATGATGATGATGATGATGATGATGATGATGGTGATGGTGATGAGGATGATGATGATGGTGATGAGGATGAGGATGATGATGATGATGATGATGATGAGGATGATGATGATGATGGTGGTGATGAGGATGAGGATGAGGATGAGGATGAGGATGAGGATGCTGATGCTGATGCTGATGCTGATGCTGATGCTGCTGATGATGATGATGATGATGATGATGATGATGATAATGATGATGAGCAGATGATGAGGATGTCTCGAGCGGCTTGCTGGTTTTAGCACTCCTAAGGGGGGGGCGGCTAGGGGTATTGCACGGCCTCCGTTCGCGCCAAAATGGTGGGGAAGTCTCGAGCGGTTTGCCTGTTTGCATGCTCAACATCCTCCGTTTTCGGAGCAGAGTTTGAGGATGTCTCGTGCGAGGCGCCTCCTGAGGGGGGCGCGCCAGGGGCATTGCTGAAATCAGCACCTCGCCTGAGACATCCTCGGAAACTGCTCCGAAAAAGAAGGATGTTGAGCACCGAAACAGGCAAACCGCCTGAGACATCCCCCCAATCTGGGCGCGAACTGGCCCGTGAGATACCCCCTGGCGCCCCCCCTTGGGATTGCTGAAACCAGCGCCTCGCCTGAGACATGTTCGGAAACTGCTCCGAACGAGAAGGATGCTGAGCACCGAAACAAGCAAACCGCCTGAGACATCCCCCCAATCTGGGCGCGAAAGGGCCCGTGAGATATCCCCTGGCGGCCCCCCTTGGGACTGCTGAAACCAGCGCCTCGCCTGAGACATCACAACGTGTGTTTCAGTCTGAGCGCGGAAGAGGTGTGGATTAGTCTGAGTGAGGAAGAGCGGGGCAGAGTATGAGTGAGTCTTAGTGTGAGTGAGTCTGGGTGTGAGTGAATCTGAGTATGAGCCTGAGTGAGTGTGAGTGTGAGTGTGTGTGTGTGTGTGAGTGACCTGAGTACGACTATCTTGAATATGAGAAGCGGCTCGAAATGCGAGTGAGTCTGTATATGAGTGATCCCGAGCATGAGAAACCTGAGTATCAGTACCTAATCTCAGAGCGAGTGCATCTGAGTATGAGTGAGTCTGAATATGAGTGAGTCTACATGTGAGTGAGTCAGAGAGAGAGAGAGAGAGAGAACAAAAAAAAATGATGACCTGAGGGCGGGAGGTGTGTTCCTTCCTTCCTTCCTTCCTTCCTTCCTTCCTTCCTTCCTTCCTGTGTTCCGCGCTGTCTAAGTAATGACAAGAACCCCATCCTTAGGATATGGGGAAAAACAAGACACAGCCGAAGTCCAGCAAAACAGCGTGTAGGTCCAGCCCTGGAGCTGGGGGATGGGCGCGGCCGCGCTGAGGATGCGGCCCCCCGCTGGCTGGCCCCCCGGGAGGGGCCCCAAGGAACGCTGAAACCGGCGCGCCGTTTCAACCGTCCTGGAATCAATTCGCTTTTTGCTTCCATCCTGCCCCCACCTCCTCCTCCACCTCCTCCCGACCCTCCCCATCCTCGTGCCCCGCCCCCTCCCCCACCCCGTCCTCGTCCTCCTCGTCCTCCTCGTCCTCCTCGTCCTCTTCCTCCTCCTCTTCCTCTTCCTCTTCCTCTTCCTCTTCCTCTCCCTCCTCCTCCTCCTCCTCCTCCTCCTCCTGCTTCTCCTCCTGCTTCTCCTCCTGCTTCTCCTCCTGCTTCTCCTCCTGCTTCTCCTCCTCCTCCTCCTCCTCCTCCTCCTCCTCCTCCTCCTCCCCCTACCTCCCCTTCCCGATTTTGTCCGCGCTGCTCCCTCACACTGCTCCTTATCACTGCTCCCTCCTCGTCCGTGAGTCCCTATCCCTCGCTCTCCTTCCCCGCCGCCTTTTTTCTTGTTGGGGGCGGCGGCCGGCGAGACGCGGGCTTCCTCGCGAACCGACTCCTCCAGGATGGATTCCTGGCGTGGGGGCGGGCGTATCAGGATGGGGGGGAAAGGATTGAAGAGGGCGAGGAGAAATGCATGAGGGCGAGGAGAAATGCATGAAGAACAGGATCACCAATTCGCCGGCCCAACGGGCCAGAGGCGTGCTAAGATCGCCAGTAATTGGTCAACAATATTTCTAGTCTGCGCGCCCGGAGCGGCCCCTGGGGGCCCCCGGACGAAAAGTACCCCGGCAAGGTCCCAGGAGAAGCCACGAGAGCACTCCAGGGGAGGGCCATTTTTCGACACCCATCACGAGGATCGTGGCCTCCGAGGGGGGAGCCGCAATCGACCACCCCCCCTCCCGCCCCAAGAGGCCCCCAAAAGCCCCCCAAGAGGCCCAAGACGCCGCCAAGGAGACCCAAGAGACTCCCAAGAGGTCCCCAAGAGGCCCCCAAGAGACCCTAAAGAGGGCTCCAGGGCCGGCGGAATTAGCGAAGCGATTAAATGAAAGGCATCAGGACAACACGACGACGAGGGAATGGAGGATTAGGAGCAGGACTATCCATCTGCTCCAAGCGACCAAGCGACTCATCCTCTCCATCCATACGTATGATCCTACTTCTCCTCCCCGGCAGAACTTCACCCCCCCCCGTTCGTCCTATTCCTAAGTCTGCTTTTGCGTTTCCTCTACCTGGTCGCACGCGTGCTGGTATCACTGCCCATACTTCTACTTATGTTCACTATCCCACCTCCATTATTCATCGCAGCACTATCCCTATCCCGAGTAATGCTCTGATTCGTTCTCCTAGTTCTGAGCCAAGTCTTGTGCCCACTCCAATCACTAACCTGCTCCTCCCCTACCTGCTGGCACTTCTTACATGGATGCTACTCGCAATAATCCGCCACCGTGCCGCGAGGCACTGGGCGGGGCGTCGCTGCATGGAAAGAGGTAGGTGTCCTGGTGGCCTTGCCCCTTGTCACAGAAATGAGAATGGGCTGAAGTGTCACAGGCCCATGAAAGTCGCTGGGCGGTGCGTCCTCAATCCCCAAGAGACTTTTTCAATGCGAGCTCTTCTAAATTAATTTCATACATATATATACAATTATATACATATGTATATGGTCGCCGCCCTGTGATCATACCTCTCCCTCTCTTTCTCTCTGCTTTTCTGCTTCTTCCTCGTTTTCCTCTTCCTTCTCCTCGCCCTCTGTTTGTAACACAAGAAATCCATACCAGACAGCGCTTGGCGCCGGTAATGCAAGGAACCACTGTGTGTTTGTTTGTTTGTTTGTGTTTTGTTTGTTTGTGCAGCCACGAAACACTGTGTATGTTTTCCGTTGCTTTCCGAACCATCCTGTGTTGGGTCCTCGTTTTGAAAAGACGGTGTCCCGCGTTCCTCTCCTTTCCTGACCTCCTCCCCCCCTCCTCCCTCCCCATCCTCCCTCCTCCCTGCGTTTCACCCACCCAGTACAGCACTTCGTGGCCCCATAGGGAGCCCCACCGAAGGTCCCAGCGCTACCGTCCGCATGCGTCCCGCACATTCAATACAGTGTTCGCGGCCCCCTCCTCCCTCCTCCCTGCGTTTCACCCACCCAGTACAATGTTTCGTGGCCCCATGAGGAGCCCCACTGAAGGTCCCAGCCGTCCTGGGGCCTCCCGGGGGGCGGGGGGAAACGAAAAGCGCACCCCGAATACATATCCCAATGCAGAACATACGTAAAACAAACATTTCACCTGAGACATCCTCTGAATTTTGATCCCCAGGAGAAACACAATGTATACTCAACAAATTCTGAAAACAACAAGCGTTTCGTTCGGGACATCCTCAGAAGTGAAACGATAGATAGCACAAAACAAGCGTTTCGCTCGATATATCCTCAACACATTCCGAAAAACAAGCGTTTCGCTCGGGAAATCCTCAACAATAATTCAGCCGGCCCTCTTCCCGCCTCGTTATTTACCGCAAATAATTCCGCTGGCCCTCTTCCCGTCGGGTCCGGGGGGAAAAAGCTAAAAGAGAACCCTGGGCCCGCGCCCTTTCTGGGAAAAAGGGCATCGAAATAATTATAGATCGAATGATAAAGCAGGACTAGAGGATCTAGCGACGGGTTCCCCCGTCGCGCGTCCAGCGTCCACTGCCATCCCCATCGTCATCAACGTTCCACTCATTGCCCCAGTTGCTGGTTGCCCTGTAGGGGGGCTGACGGTTTTCCCCTGGATGGTCTTCTCCAAGAATACGTATCGTTCTCGCGGGCTGGGGCTGCAGCCAGGCTGCTGCGGTCGACCCCGAGCTCGAAGCAGCAACATACCCGCCATGCGGCTCGCGGACATGATCGGCCGCGGCTCCGCGATCTGCTAGTGTCGGGCGCTACCCTGATCCACGTGCATGAAAACCGCATTCTCACTGCTGAGCTGACCGCGTTCGCTCGTACAGCGGAGGCCTGTCCACAAGAAACCTTCCACGAGAAACCCAACCCTGAGACCCCAAGACGACCATTGATCTTGGGTGTGGGAACGTCGCGCTTTCAACGCGGGAGCCGGAGGCGAAGTCCCGGAGGGAGAGCGAAGTGGTGTTGCCGTCAACGGCGCGTCAGAATCACCATCCTCGAGTGCTGCGTGGGGAGGGACGTGACCAGGTCGACGCCCGAGAGGTAGGAGGAAATCAATAGCAAAACCCTCGAGACCCAAGAAACCCAGGGCACCCTGGAGGCAACCAGGGTGTTTCTTAGCATGGGCCCCCACCGTAGGCGGGCTCGGTCGTCCGACGCAACCAGGTGGGGTCGACTCCTCCGACGCTCCGCCGCCGACGGCGTCGGACGGCGACGTGGCACCTTGACCGAATGGCACCGTGGCTGGCGCACGGTACGCGCAAGACCTTACCCGAGGGGCCCAAGGACACACAAATGAATGCACACAAAGAACAGGAGTCCATTTCCCCATAGTTTCTGGGTGTTTGTCCCCCCCCCCCCAATTCCCACATTTTCCCATATTTTCGTGGGAGTCGACGATTCATGATGTGTGTGTGTGCTTCCCCTCCTGAACCTGACCCGGGCAGAACTCGAAGGTGCTGCCTTGGGAGGTGGACCATGAGGCGACTGACTCCTCGCGCGGGGCCACGGAGCGCTGTACTGGGTGGGGCGGACGCGCGCGAACGTCGCCTCTGGGGCCTTCGGTGGGGACCCCTATGAGGCCACGAAGCGATGTACCTGGTGGGGGAAACGCATGCGAACGTCGCCGCTGGGGCCTTCGGTGGAGCTCCCTATGGGGCCACGAAGCGCTGTCTGGGTGGGGGAGACGCGTGTGAACGTCGCCTCTGGGGCCTTCGGTGGGGCTCCCTTTGTGGCCACGAAGCGCTGTATGGGTGGGGGAGACGCGTGTGAACGTCGCCTGAGGGGCCTTCGGTGGAGCTCCCTATGAGGCCACGGAGCGCTGCACTGGGTGGCAGAGTCGCATGCAGCCGCGGCCACTGGAGTCTTCGGTGCATCTCCTTCTAGGGCCACGAAATAATGTCCTGGTTGGCGCGGACGCATGCGAACGTCGTCTCTGGGGCCTTCGGTGTTCCCTGTGGGCCCACGCGACGCTGTACTGGGTGGCGCGGACGCATGCGAACGTCGCCCCTGCGGCCTTCGGTGGAGCCCCCTATGGTGGCGCGGATGCATGCGAACGTCGGCTCTGGGGCCTTCGGTGGAGCTCCCTATAGGGCCACGAGGCGCTGTACTGGGTGGCGCGGACGCATGCAAACGTCGCCTCTGGGGCATGAACGCTTCAGGAATCAATCCCACCGTTTGAATAGAACAGGAGTCAATCCCAGCCATATTCCAGACCTCTATCACGTTTGACGTCTGCATCCCAACGTTTGGCCACATGGGCGGATCCAAACGGCAGGGGGCGGCGGTGGTTCGCCGTAGGCGTCTTCGATACGGATTATCATCCCAATCCGTACCCACGCACCTCTGCACCAATGCCTGCACTTTCTCCCACTCGTACTCATTCTACTGGTTTTTCAAGCTTCCGTCCTCTAGGACGGATTCCTCGATGGTGGCGTCCTCAGCAGACTGTCAAACTTTCGCATTCGTGATGCGCGGGAAAGAGAAAGGGCGAACGCATGCTGGTCAGCTGTCGTCACTCCCTTTTGTCGTCCTCCTGTCAGTGTACCCCTCACTTGAAAGCTGGAACTTGCAATGCGGCTTCCACGAGAAACAACAAACGAGACTCCTGCGAGGGAATACGTCCAGGAGTGGGGGAGAGTCGCGCTTGACCGAAAGTGGGACGATGTGGGACGGGAGTGCACATAAAACAACTGCTGTGCCGCAAACTAGCTATGGGTTCGTGGCTGACACTGGTGCCCTAGGCACAATAGCAAGTAGGGGCAACGAGGAGGCCAGATCATGAGGCAATGTGAAGGAGGAGGGAAGGAAGGAAGGACAACGAAGGAGGAAGAGGAAGGCACAAACAAGTGGGAGGGTCGGCGAAGAAGGCAATGGAACACTCACTAATCCTGCTCGGTTGCTTCCCCGCTCCTGCCAAATCATGCCCAGCCAGCCTCCTGAAGGAGGCCGGCCAAAGGACGGCCAGCCCACGACCGCGCAAACGAGCCGTGGATCAAGCATCACGACCTGCGCTCCACTGAGGCCGCGTCGAAAAGACCCGCCGGCCCCGCTGCGCAGGGCACCTTCGCGGCGTGTGGATCGGCGCAAGGTGGGGATGGCGTGTGGTGCTGCTCCCGTATCGACTTGTGCTCGGCTCTCGCTGCGGCGCCCGTATCGGTACCTCTTCCAGCTCTTTCCTCCTCCTCCTCCCCCTCCTCCTCCCCCTCCTCCTCCTCCTCCTCCCCCTCCTCCTCCTCCTCCTCCTCCTCCTCCTCCTCCTCCTCCTCGTCCTCCTCCTCCTCCTCCTCCTCCTCCTCCTCGAGCCCAGAAACCGAATCGACAAGTCGGACCAGCGGTCGAGGCGCAAAAGGGATCGGCGGACGTCGGCAGCCCGGGCGGGAGAGGTCGCCTCGGCGGGGAGCGGCAGGCTAGGCAGGCCTGCCCCTGCCGTCGCTCGGACGTCGTCCGTTTCCCGTACCTTTTTCGGTCTCGTGCGTGCTTCTTTGCTCCATGGTCCAGGATGGCTCCTCGTTGGTCCTCGCGGAAAAGAAAGACATGATCGACCCACGAACCCGGAACGGAATATAGAGATGTAGGACGTGGCCACGTTTCAAAGACACCTGATGGGGCGACGGGCAAGTGCAGTGATGAATGTATCGATCTTGATGTACCGTGCCGAGGGCTGTGCTGTGCTGCGCCGTGCTGAACTGCGATGTGCCATGCCGCGATTGTGGTCTATAGCGTTCTGGATCGAGTCCTCCTTTGCGTCCGAGTCCTGACCGAACTGATCTGGATCTTAAGCTCGAGCTGCCTCAGCACATAGTAGCTGCCCTAGAGCTGATTGGCAAGAAGACATGCTAGGAGGACACGCCGCGGAATGTCCCAAAGGACGCGCCAGGCGACGTCCCAAGGAACGTGCCATGGGGACGCACCGCAGAGGTGCCAAGGGGACGCGCTACGGAACGTGCCAATGGACGTGCCACGGGACGTGCCAGGGGACGCGCCGCGCGACGTGCCAGGGGGACTCGCCACGGGACGTGCCACGGAACGTGCCAAGGAACGTAACAAGTTGCAATGCTGAGTGTATCGATCTTGATGCACCGTGCCGAGGGCTGTGCTGTGCTGCGCCGTGCTGAACTGCGATGTGCCATGCCGCGATTGTGGTCTATAGCGTTCTGGATCGAGTCCTCCTTTGCGTCCGAGTCCTGACCGAACTGATCTGGATCTTAAGCTCGAGCTGCCTCAGCACATAGTAGCTGCCCCAGAGCTAATTGCCAAGGGAACATGCCAGGAGGACGCGCCGCGGACCGTCCCAAGGGACGCGGCAAGCGACGTCCCAGGGAACGTGCCATGGGAACGCACTGCCGGACGTGCCAAGGGGACGCGCTACGGAACGTGCCAATGGACGTGCCACGGGACGCACTCCCAGGGCCACGATCCCTCGTAAATTACACTGCGTCCGCGCTCCAAGGGCCACGATCCCTCGTAAATTACATTGGGGTCGCGCTCCCAAGGCCCCGACCCCTTGTAAATTACGCTGCGTCCGCGCTCCCAGGGCCACGATCCTTTGTAAATCACGCTGCGTCCGAGCCCCCAGGGCCCCGACGCTGCGCCCGCGCTCCAAGGGCTACGATCCCTCATAAATTACATTGCGTCCGAGCTCCCAAGGCCCCGACCCCTCGTAAATTACGCTGCGCCCGCGCTCCGAGGGCCACGATCTCCTGCAAATTACGCGTGGTCCGAGCTCCAAGGGCTACGATCCCTTGTAAATTACGCCGCGTCCGCGCTCCCAGGGCCTCCTGGGGCATGCTGGGGCACCCAGGCCCTTGAAGTGTTGCCAAACAAGCGTTTCGCTCGAGACTTCCTCGACTTTTGGCGCGGGGGGCGCGCCTTCCTCGAGCGGGCGCGCAAAAACTCAACATTTTCACACTAAATTCTGAACAAAAACATGATGGACCCACGAACCCGGAAAGGGATATAGACATGTGGAGCATGGACACGTTTTCACGATACCCAACTGGGCAACACCTCACGAAACATCCCACGAGACACTTCACGAAACATCCCACGAGACACCTCACGAAACATTCCACGAGACACCTCACGAAACATTCCACGAGACACCCCGCGAAACATTCCACGAGACACCCCACGAAACATTCCACGACGACAGGCAACCACTCAACCAAGGCGGTGTGGTCGTGCTGGGGAGTGGTCGTGCTGGGGTGTGGTCGTGCTGGGGGGTGGTCGTGCTGGGGTGGTGGTCGTGCTGGGGGGGTGGTCGTGCTGGGGGGTGGTCGTGCTGGGGCGTGGTCGTGCTGGGGCGTGGTCGTGCTGGGGCGTGGTCGTGCTGGGGTGTGGTCGTGCTGTGGTGAGGTCGTGCTGGGGTGTGGTCGTGCTGGGGTGTGGTCTTGCTGGGGTGGGGCCGTGCTGGGGTGGGGTCGTGCTGGGGTGGGGTCCTGCTGGGGTGTGGTCGTGCTGGGGTGTGGTCGTGCTGGGGTGGGGTCGTGCTTGGGTGGGGTCGTGCTGGGGTGTGGTCGTTCTGGGGTGTGATCGTGCTGGGGTGTGGTCGTGCTGGGTGTGGTCGTGCTGGGGTGGGGTCGTGCTGGGGTGGGGTCGTGCTGGGGTGTGGTCGTGCTGGGGTGTGGTCGTGCTGGGGCGTGGTCGTGCTGGGGTGGGGTCGTGCTGGGGTGGGGTCGTGCTGGGGTGTGGTCGTGCTGGGGTGGTCCGCACCCTGTGATTTATCGATCGGGTCGTGCTGGGGTGTGGTCGTGCTGGTGCTGGGGTGTGGTCGTGCTGGGGTGTGGTCGTGCTGGGGTGTGGTCGTGCTGGGGTGTGGTCGTGCTGGGGTGTGGTCGTGCTGGGGCGTGGTCGTGCTGGGCGTGGTCGTGCTGGGGTGTGGTCATGCTGGGGGTGTGGTCGTGCTGAGGTGTCCCGCACCCTGTGATTTATCGATCGGGATTTCAAAAACAAGCGTTTCGCCTGAGACATACTCAAATTTTAATCCGCCGGCCTCCTTCGACCTCGATATTTATCAAGGAAAGAATCGCCGGCCTCCTTCAAGTTGGGCACCGGGGACACGTTTACATACTACATGATCGACCCACGAACCCAGAAAGGAATATAGAAATGTAAGGCATTGCAACATTTCAAAGACACCTGATTGGGCGACGGGCACATGCAATGCTGAATGTATCGATGATGATGTACTGTGCCGAGGGCTGTGCTGTGCTGGGCCGTGCTGAACTGCGATGTGCCATGCCGCGATTGTGCTCTATATAGCGTTGTGGATCGAGTCCTCCCTGGCGTCCGAGTCCTCACCGAACTGATCTGGAGCGTAAGCTCGAGCTGCCTGAGCAGATGGTAGCTGCCCCAGAACTAATCGACAGAGGGAACATGCCAGGAGGACGCGCCGCGGAACGTCCCAAGGGACGCGCCAGGCGACGTGCCAGGGGACGTGCCATGGGCACGCACCGCGGGACGTGCCAAGGGGACGCGCTACGGAACGTGCCAATGGACGTGCCGAGGGACGTGCCAGGGGACGCGCCGCGCGACGTGCCAGGTGGACTCGCCACGGAACGCGCCAAGGAACGTGCCAAGGTGCATAGTTGAGTGTATCGATCTTGATGTACCGTGCCGACGGCTGTGCTGTGCTGGGCCGTGCTGAACTGCGATGTGCCATGCCGCGATTGTGCTCTATATAGCGTTGTGGATCGAGTCCTCCCTGGCATCCGAGTCCTCACCGAACTGATCTGGATCGTAAGCTCGAGCTGCCTGAGCAGACGGTAGCTGCCCCAGAACTAATCGACAGAGGGAACATGCCAGGAGGACGCGCCGCGGAACGTCCCAAGGGACGCGCCAGGCGACGTGCCAGGGGACGTGCCATGGGCACGCACCGCGGGACGTGCCAAGGGGACGCGCTACGGAACGTGCCAATGGACGTGCACCGCGCGACGTGCCAGGGGGACTCGCCACGGGACGCTCCGCGGAACGTGCCAGGCAACATGCCAGGCTGCAATGCTAAGGGTATCGATATTGATGTACCGTGCCGAGGGCTGTGCTGTGCCTGGGCGACCTGGACACGTGAAAACACGCGTTTCGCTCAAGACGTTGTCAGCACATCCTCATGCTAGACATCCGCCTGGGCAACCTGTACACGTGCAAACAAGCGTCTCGCTCGAGACATCCTCAACAAATGCTCATGCTAGACATCCGCCTGGGCGACCTGGACACGTGAAAACAAGCCTCTGGTTCGAGACATCCTCAACAAATCCTCATGCTAGACATCTGTCTGGGCCACCTGGAGGCGTGAAACCAAGCGTCTCGCTCGAGACATCCTCAAGACCTGGGCACGTGAAAACAAGCAATCCACTTGAGAGATCCTCTGAATTCTGGTCCCCAGGAAAGGACAATCTATAATACAAAACAAGCGTTTCGCTCGAGACATCCTCAACAAATTCTGAAAAACAAGCGTTTCGCTCGAGACATCCTCAAATTTTAATTCGCCGGCCCTCTTCCCACTCATTATTTATCGCAAAAGAAATTCGCCGGCCCTCTTCCCGTCAAACCCGGGGGGAAACCATCTAAAAGAGAACCCTGGGCTCAAGCCCTTTCCGGGAAAAAGAGAACCCTGGGCCCACGCCCTTTCCGGGCAAAAAAGCGAATTAGTCGAGACATCGTCGAAATTCCTGCGCGCGGGACGCGGTACGCGCGAGACATCCTGGGAATTCCTGCGCGCGGTGCGCTTTTCCGCGTCGCGGTCGGGGCTCCAGACCTTTTTTGTTTTTTGTTTTTGAGGATTCTGCTAAAAATGCCCCGCACCCTCTTTTTCACGAAGGAAAACGGTGGTCCGCGAACCCCGTTATTTATCGAGGATCCGAGATGGGGGGTCGACTTTCCTCGAGCGGGCACGCACGAAACGCATTTGTTTCGCGCCGAATTGGACCTTACCTCGTTTTTGATCGAGCGGACTTCCGCCGGCCCCCTTCAACTCAAAACCGGGAGCTTTTAACCCACTCAACAGAGAGCCCCGAGCCCACGCCCTTTCCGGGAACAACGCGCACGTCCGAGCGATGCCACACTCCCAGACCCCCGACGTAATGATTTTTTCATTACGCCGACCCCAGAGTTCTCGACCCCTTCCCCAGGACCGGTTTGTCATCCTGAGTCGTTTTTTGACGCTCCCGAGGCCCGGTGAGGGTCCCCGGAGGCCGAAAATGGTGAAAAACCTCCCGTCATGAATTTTTCATTACTCGAGGGGGTCTGGGAAAAAACGCACACGTCCGAGCGATGCCACACTTTTCTGGGACGCCGGGACCCTCCGAAGCCGAGCCGCAGCGGCCTCGCACCGACGATCGGCCTCGGGCCCCTCCTCCCGCGGGCGGGCGGCGATGCCCGCCGAGGCGCCCAGGATCTTGCGACGCCTCCCGCCGGGCGGGCGGCAGCTGCGCAGGCGCCCCGGGCGCCGCCCCCGGCGCCTCGGGCTGGCGGCGCGTCCTGGTGAGGCGGGGGCAGGGGGCGGGAGGCCGGGATTACCAGCCTGGAACATATCCCCATCCCTATTATGCTGGGCACCTCCTCATCACGATGCCACTCCTAGGGATTCCCTCATTTTTTGAGGGCGCAGCCCTAAGATTGTCCTCGCTTTTTGGCGTGTCAATCTTAGGGATAGGGGTAAGTTCGAGGCGGGAGGCCGGGAGGCGGCGGGAGGGGAGGGGAGGAGGGGAGGCGGGCAGGGGAGGAGGGAAAGGAAGGCCGGGCGGGGGCAGGGAGAGGGGGGAAAGGACAAGCTGGGTGCGCTCGCGTCAGCATGCTGCGCCGTGCTGCGCCGTGCTGGTCTGCGCTGCGTCGTGCCGAGGTTGTGCCCTGCAGCGTTGCGGATCGAGTCCTCCTTTGCACCCGAGTCCTGACCGAACAGATCTGGATCTCAAGCTCGAGCTGCCTCAGCACATAGTAGCTGCACCAGGGGCTAATTGACAAGGGGACATGCTAGGAGGGCGCGCCGCGAAACGTCCCAAGGGACGCGCCAGGCGACGTGGCAGGGGACGTGCCATGGGGACGCACCGCGGGACGTGCCAAGGGGACGCGCTACGGAACGTGCCAATGGACGCGCCGCGCGACGTGCCAAGGGGACTCGCTAAGGGACGCGCCACGGAACGTGCCAGGTTGGAATGCTGAGTGTATCGATCTTGATGTATGCACCTTGCCGAGGGCTGTGCTGTGCTGCGCCGTGCTGAACTGCGATGTACCATGCCGCGGTTGTGCTCTAATTGTTGTGGATCGAGTACTCCTTTGCATGCGAGTCCTGACCGAACTGATCTGGATCTAAAGCTCGAACTGGCTGAGCACATAGTAGCTGCCTCAGAGCTTTACTGACAAAGGGACATGCCAGGAGGACGCGCCGCGGAAAGTCCCAAATGACGCGGCAGGCGACGTGCCAGGGGACGTGCCATGGGGACGCACCGCGGGACGTGCCAGGGGACGCGCCGCGCTACGGAACGCGCCAATGGACGCGCCACGGGGCGTGCCAGGGGACCCATGTGTTTTCAAGCTTGCCTCGCCCGGGGGCGTTAGTAACACATGCGTTTTCACATATCTCCCGCCCTGTGGCGTTCGGAACCCATGTGTTTCCACGTTCGTCCCGCCCTGGGGCGTTAGGAACCATGTGTTTTCGCGCTTGCTCCGCGCTGGGGCGTTAGGAGCCCACGTGTTTTCACACTCGTCCCGCCCTGGAGCGTTGGGAACCGATGTGTTTTCACGCTTCTCGAGCGTACTGGGGCCTCCTGGGGGGCGGGTGGAAGCAGAACGCGTTCCCCGAACACATATCCCAATACAGCAAACTGCATCCTGGGGCCTCCTGGGGCGAAAAGCGCGCCCCAAACATGTATCCCAACACGGATCAATGCCTCCTGGGGCCTCGTGAAGCCTCCTGGAGCCTCCTGGGGCCTCCTGGGGCGTTAGGAGCCCATGTGCTTTTGCGATTCTCCCGCCCTGGGGCGTTGGGAACCCATGCGTGGAGGAACGGGGACGGGGCCCACGTGCGATCCGAAAGAAGCATCAGCGCTGGGATGCAGGCTCGCCCGCGCAGACCGCGCAGAGCTGCAAAGCCCACTGGGTCTGCTGTCTGCTGTCTCCCCCCCTCCCCGCCCCCTCCTTGCACTCGTACGACAGCTCGCCGAAAGATCCTTGCTGAGTGGACTGGTGGGGTCTCTGGAAACTCCTCCTCCTCCCGTTTGCACTGAACCCCGTCTCTTGAGCCCCGAGGGGAGGCAGCGGCGTGGGGACTGGCGGCGGCCAGGGGGGGGCAGAGGCACCTCCACAGCGAGAAAACGGCCCGGGGCCAGGCCCGTGAAGGGGCCCAGGGACACGCCAATGAATGGACACAAAGCCCAGGACTCCCCCATCGTTTTCCCACATGTGTTCAGGGGTACCTGTGATCCCTCCCACCTCCCATATTTTCCAATAGTTTCCCGCAGTTTCCTGGGAGTCAACGATTCATTGTGCCTGTGTGTTTCATTCCCTCCTGAGGCCCGGGCGGGCGCAGGCCCGCCGAGGCTGCGGCCGCAGCGCCCTCCGCAGGGCCGAGAGCTGGGCCGCTCGCGACGCCGTCGACGTCAGTGTGCCCAGAGGTTCCTCTGGTGCCCTCCTCCTCCTC